AGGAGGCTGAGACAAGAGGATCTTGAGTTCAAAGCTAGCCTCAGTAACCATGAGGCGCTAAGCAACTCAGTGAAACCCTGTCTCTAAATAAAATACAAAAGAGGACTGGGGATGTGGCTCAATGGTTCAGTGCCTCTGACTTCAATTTCCAGTACCAAAAAAGAAAAAAGAAAGAAAGAAAAAATTAATAAGTGCCTCCCATATGCTCAGAACTACCAGGGACATGTTGCCTTGAATGTGCACATTCCTTCCCTGCTGGAGGTACAGAACAAAGGAAGACCTTAATTAGGGAAGGCAGACACACCCAGGTTTGAATCTTACCTCTGCCCCTTGCAAGCAGGTAGCCTTGAGCAAACTTCACCACACACTCTGAGCCTCCACTTCTATAAAACAGGGTTTCCACTTAAGGAAACCCAGATGCCTCCTGGCTCTGACATGCAATATGGCAATATTCTGGGAGACAATTCTCAGCCATTAGAATCCCCAGGTTTTTACAATCTGCTTGGCTTAGCTGTTATATTTTTTAATGCCAGCACTATCTGCATTAGGAATGCTTTCCTGGTTGTGTCCTGCCCTAGAGGGCTGCAGGCTTTGTAGGGTTCAGACCAACCACTGTCTTCACCACGGTATCCCCAACCTCCCCCACAGAGCTAGAAGCATGGGTGGAACTCAGGCTTTCTATATGGGTTTACAAAGCGACAGGTACAGAGCAGGCTCCTTGCTGTGCACTTAAGCTGGGACTTTTGAATACCTCTCTGGCTCCGAGGAGGTTCTCTAAGACTATGGATCACTCTCTGACGCTGGGGCAATCTGGAACACTACCTCTGTGGTGTTAGTTGTCTCCAGGGGAGATGCTGATGCCAGCAAAGCCTCTGTGGTCCATGCATTGACGACTCTGCTACAGAGCACTGCTGGGACTTCACTTGGGGTGTTCCCACCGCCTCACCTGTTTATGTGTCACTTGGTCCCAAATCCGTTTGCTGAAAGGCCGGATTTATGATGTCTACCTCCTGAGCACAGGAAGTGCTGGCTGCATTGGGCTGAAGTTGAAGGTACAGTTTTCATCTTGGAGGTAAGAGGGCACTAGGAACCAATGCATGGATTTTATCCCAGTCTTCTGCTTCCCACCAGAGTGTCCTTGAGCCAGTTACTTAATCCCTTAAATGAATGTTTATGATACACAGAAATTTCTGCTGAGGTCTGACCACGGGAAGCAGGCTGGACCCTCCAGGGAGGAGACGAAGATGGAATGGCAACTCAGTTACCACCTGGACGATACCAGGGGAGTGGATCTGTCCCTCCTTTACAGCTCCATGAAAGTGGCTCTGCTTAGGGTCCCGTGGTCAGGGGGCCATGGGCCACTCTGCCTGCTTTGGAAGTCTCAGATGACCCAGTGTTTTATTTTTAGCTGTTTTTGTACAGAACCCAAAAGACCTTTGGACACTGGGCTCATCTCCAAGGTGAAGCAGGTAATAAACAGAAACAAATGTGCCACATCGTCCTCTGAAGAGTTCACTTGATGATTCAGGGATTCCTGGACCCCTCTTCAACTGTCAAGACATGACCCACTGGACCTCATCATTTATAAAGTGCTGGGGGTCTAGGCTCCTGTTGCCTGCCTGACACTATATGACCTTGGACTAGTCCCTTCCCCTCTCTGACCCTCAGTTTGTTCATGCATAAAGTAAGGGAACGGGTGGACCGGATGGTTTCTAAGGAATTTCACATTTCCTCCTGGATGCTAATGGTGGCCTTGGGTGTGGGACATGTAGCGATCTATGAAACCCAGCCTTCAAGAAGACCCTTGGCTCATTAGATTCAGCATTTCCCTTAAAAGCACCATTTAGATACTGCAACCAACAATCACAGAGAACCTATGATATGTTCAGCTATCTCATTAATCGCCTCTTTCTAACCAGCCCACAGGAAAATCATTAATTGAACCAACATTACAGAGGGCAGTGTAACAATGACATATCCAGAATATGAGCTGTGAAGTCACCAATGCTTGGATTTTCATTCCAATCTTCTGCTTCCTACTGGAGGGTCCTTGAGCAAGTTACCTCATCCCTTCAAGCCTCAGTTTCCTCTTCCATAAAATGGACATGCTAATAGCTCCTGCCTCACATGGTTGTTCCACATGCCTGAGTGGCACAGGCATGTGAAACAGGATGAAATGCTCGATAAATAATTAACTATTTGGGGCAGGGGTTGAGGCTCAGCGGTAGAGCGCTCGCCTAGGGTGTGCGAGACCTGGGTCCGATCCTCCGCACCACATAAAAATAAATACATAAATAAAATAAAAGTATTGTGTCCAACTACAACTAAAACATTAAAAAACAGTAATTAACTATTTACTGTGGATCATTGTCACTACTGCTACCGTTACCACTTCTACTGGAGATGAGAAAACGGAGGCTCGGGAAGATGTGTGTAGGGTGATCACTGAAAACAACACAAGGTTCCCACGTCAATCAAAAGCCCAAGAGAGGCAAGGATAGGGTAGCTCTGTGGTCAGCGCTGAGGTGCAGAGCTGCCATACCACTATTTCCAGGCTGCTTAATGGCTCCTATCCTCTGGCTGTCCACCTACAGAGACGTCAACGACTTCCCCCACTGGGGAGGTGTGATGCACTCACATAGAAGGAAGACACCTAGCAGAATGCCAAGTGTGTAAAAGACAGGACGAATGGTTATTTCCTCGCCTTCCCCACAAGCCTCTTTGGAAATCTCCTAGACCAAAGCCTGCCTGCCTTTCTTGGAAACCCCAGTTCTCACACTGTAATTCTCCAACACTTGGGCTCCGTCACCCAGCCAGGGGCCATGTGGCCCCACCATGATACTGAGCTTTCTCCTGAGGGTTGGGTGGAAACATTTGCCCTGACCCAAGAGGTGGAGGCCACATGTGGGCACAGCCAGTGTACCAAAACTTCATCCAGGAAGCCCTTCTCCTGACCACATAAAGTCCTGCAAGGCCCCACGGGCCTCCACATGGATTCCCAAGAAGTGGTGGCCGTGGAAGCCATGGTAACAATACCTCTTCCCTTCTCTAAGCCACCATAGGCACGTTTACATGTTACCTGGGTGGGACTCCAGCTGTGCTGTACTCGATTTTGGAAACACGATGAATAATGCTAAGTGTGTGGTAGATACCTCAGAAACTACTTCTCTTGAATGAATATGTTTTATCTTTATACAACAAAAAATTTACAAGTCCCCATTTAATCCTTATCAACTATGAGTCACACACACTGCTAAGCACTCAATGGCACATCCTCGCAGTTGACTCTCACTCAGTGCGCTCTCTTGCCCACCTCGCTGCTTAGAAGGGGAAATGGAAACTTGGAGACGTGAACTGATGTGCCCCAGGTCACGGCGAGTGAGTGACAGACCTGGGGTCTGAGTGCTGACTGCAGACCCTGCTTCTTAACCCCTCCACTGGGTCCCCTCTTCTTTGGCCAGAAGAGGCAGCAAAGAGGGGAACGAGGAACAGCCTGGATGCAGACCGAAGTCAAATATTAATGCGACGATTTTATGTTTGGAAAAAGAGGCGAGTCCTTTTGCTTTTATGATACAAGCTAGAGGAAGCAAACAGGAGCAGAATCACCGTGGCTGAAGGGACATGCGTGTTCCCGTTCTACTTTCTGTGGTCCCCAGGCACCAGTATGACTAGGTTTAGTAAACCCTCCTTCTTCACATGCTGCTCTATTCTCCTAACCTCCCCACACAGGCCAGCCCACCTCTAATGTTCCAGTAGTTTCCCCTTTATCCTACCCACCCCTGTAGGAATGAAGCAGACCCATCTTTTGCATAAGGGCCCCAAGTGGTTAAGCTCCCATTTCCTTGAAGGCTTTATCTCCAGCCCCCTGCCCCAGCCAAATACTTAGAACCCGGCTTATGAGAAACATGTCAATCACAACCAGGAGGCCAAGGAGTGATGGGGGCTCACTCAGGCATACAGAATGCTTCATCTGTCTCTTTCCTGTGACGCAAGAAAGAGGAAACTAACAGCTCTGAGACTTAGCCACAGCATCAGGGGCAATAAGGAATGGTGGGGACTGTGGCCATCCAGAACATTCCCAGGAGGAAGAGGCTACTGGTCACTCACCCACGTGCTGCTCTGGGTATGCCAAGTCTGGTGTGGCCAAATCTTACTGTCCAAGGGATAAGAGGATCAGAATTTCTATGTGAAATCTCCTAATTTCTAAATGTTGGCATTTAATTCCCTGTGCCCTACCCCTTCTGTTTTTTTTGAAGTAAAATAGATAAGTGAGCTGGATTTGTCCAGGAAATTCACATTTCTAACCTCTGTATTGATCCTTAGGGCACATGATATGCTCACTGGCCAAAGGTTTCTGTGCTTCCCTAGAGTTCTGGCTTCCCCTGTGGTTTAGGTAAGGCTGTGCCTTGGGTGCTGGCCACAGTCCTGTTACACGTGTAACTTCCAGGCCAATGTGGTTATGAGCTGGCCGCCTTCTTCCACTTCTCTTCCCCTAATCAGGTGGCAACCCTGAAGGCCACCTGGTTGGTGCATGTGGCACAGTGAGACTGCAAGATGGAAGCTGTTGCTCTTCCCTCCACAGACTGCAGGTGAGTGAGAAAGACGGTCTGTCAGTGGCGACGGCCGGCACCCCCTGCCCTGGTGCATGCCTGGAGCTGTGTCTTGATAAAAGAATCAATCCTAGCAGTTTAGCATTTCCCACTTTAACTCCACCTTATCTCATGTGGCTCTCAACTCAAAAAGGATCAGACGTTTCACAGATGAGCAAACGGAAGCTCAGAAGGTAAAAAAGCACATCCTAGAGGTGCGCAGCAGATACGCAGTGGAGCTAACTCTGGGCTCCGGGGTGGACTTCCAGTCCAGTGCTCTTCCTGACACCCAACTTAAAAGTTGGTATTCACAATCAGAACCCTGTGGCATGTTCCGGGTCAACTGTGAGCTTACACAAGGACGGTTCACGCCTTCTACTGCCCGCGGTCGTTCAAGGTGAGAACTCTTACCTTTCCTGTCGACTTGGTCCCCTTCCAGATACAGAAGTAGCAGATGGTCCAGGCTGCCAGGAGACACAAGGCCAGCTCCCAGCGGAGGTTCCCAATGTGCTCGATCCCATCAGAGATGGCCAGGACCCGGCGCCTGCAGAGGGAAGGCAGAGAGTCATGGGGCTGAAGATGGCCCACTGCGGTCCACGTGCAGCAAAGCCAAGCCTGAAGGGAAGGGATGCACCCACCCCTGCCATTCGCCAAGCATCCTCTCTAAGCCAAACGCTGGGCTGGGCCTGGTTGTCTCAAAGAAATGAGAATTAGCCCCTGGCCTCTATGAATCCTCTCTCCTGGGGGCAAAAAGATGTGGCTCAGGGTGTTAGGGAAGACCAGAGCCACCTATCTTGAGGGTGCCTGGGAGACCGTGTTACCATCCACAACTTTCCATATTCCTAAGGGAAGACTGCATACCCCCATCCTGACAAACTCAAGGGTAACCACAGGACTTGCTTCAGGCAGGCGGCATGGTTCACCAGCCTCCCTTTCCCTTGTTATCATTATTGAAACATTGAAAAGTGTCAAGATACAGCCTCAAGAAGCCTGAGTCCCTGAAGAATAACCTGAGCTCTCATGCCATCCCAAGTCACAGATGAAATATGCAAGAATTAAACTTTGTTGTTTTAAGCTATGTTGCTCTCTGAGCACTTGTTACTGCAGCAAAAACCATCCCATCCTGACTGCTTCAGGGAGTTTGGAAATGTTCCTGACAGAAATGATGTGTGAAGCCCTTTTTGAAAGATGAGTGGAACTGAGCCAATAGAAAGAGGGAATAGATATTATTTTAGGTCAAGGAAATGGGCTGAGCTAAACTCAGAAGAAGGGGCGGGTGCACTTCGGGAACAGAGAGTTGAGTGTGCAGAGCGGGAGAGAGGAAATAGCAGGAAGGGTAAAAAGGGAAGGTATACCTGGAGCCTTTGATATCATGCCATAGGTTAAGGGTATCCCAGAGGGCCCAGGCCACAAGACAGTGGGGACCTGGGTGTGCTGGGCGAATGTCTCCAGCCACAGCCTTCCCTTGGAACCCATCAATTCTTCAGAGTCAACACAGGCCTGGCTCCCAGAGACCATGCCTGGGTTTGTGTTTCTTTAAAGTCAAACGCGCCACGCTCCATATTGTGCAGAGCCATGGCACCAACACAAACCCCCCCTAAACTTGCTCCACGAACCCCATTCTGGCTGCCAAACCACCCCCCACCAGTCTGTGCCAGTCCGCTCGGTGCTCTGAGAATGTCCTCTGAGAAAGGAGCTCCCATCCCACCAAGCATGAAAGCAGCCCTCAGTGTCTGTCTCCCTGGGAATCCGCTCCGGGCCTGATTCTGCATTAATTACTCAATGACACCAATTAGCACTGGTCAGCAGGCTTCCTCCAGCCCCAACCCCCACGGGAGAAATCAGGCAGGCCCCCAAACAAAATCAGACTATGTGCAGAATCAGAGTTACTAGAAAGGAAACCAGATTTTTGGATCAGGAGAAGCGGGAACAGCCATTTCAATACACCTTTACTGAGCACCTAATATGTGCCAGGCACGCTATTAGATACTGAGGATTAAAGGTAAGCATGATATGACTTTGACACTCTTCTAGGAGAAGTTGGATAGAAAAGAAGCTCAAGCTACTACTTCTTCCAAGAAAGAAGCCACTCACTTATGGTAATGACCTTTACTTGATTTGCTTCTTTTGTGTTAGCTCTCCTGCTTGATTTGGTTTAAAAATGTTAGGCATTATTACAGAAGAGGATTTTAAGAGAATCCATATTATAACAGTAGGATATCCCAGTATATGGTCCTTACATTGCTTGCCAGAAATACATTCTTGAGACCTACCCCAGACCCATGGAACCCCAATCTTCGCAGAATGGCTTCCAGTGAGCTACAAACCCAGTTTCTAAACCACAATGAGGTTTGAGCACCACAGAGGGAGATTTCCTGGTCATAAAGGAATGAGCTACAAATGCCATCCAAGTGTTTTTTTTTTTTTTAAGTAAAGGGAAATTGGGAAGGAAGCATCTATTTTCTTCCTCTTCTGGTTCAGTTGCATTTATCTTTCAAAGTGTGGCTCAATATCTTCCTCCAGGAAACCTTCCCACACCCCCTGAAGTAGTCAGGATAGGTTGGATTATGCTGCAGCAACAAGAGCTCCCAAACATCTCAATAGCATAAAACAATGAAGTCTATTTCTTGCTCATACTATAAGGATCCTTTGAGAAGTTACTGCAGGGATAGATTTTCTCCCTAGAAATAGACTCTTTTGAGATTCTTTAAGGAATTTGAGGGTATCCACCAACTCTCTTGTCCCCAAATTAGGAGGCTCATAGCTGACATATACATACTGCTTTACATATAGTCACCCAAAGCAATCCCAGTGACAGCCCATCAGGTGGTGAGTGAGAAGGTATAACCAGAGTTAACAAGGAAACTGGGTCACGGCAGATGGTAATAACCTGGGTGTGCCCTGACTCTCTTGCTCCCGACTCAGAACTTTTCATGAAAGACATACTTACAGGGCCTCCATAGCTAGTAGGGGCACATGCACATATATTCATGCATTTTTTAAATATATAACTTTACTATTTTTTATGTGGTGCTGAGTATAGAACCCAGTGAGTGTCTCGCGTGTGCTAGGCAAGTGCTCTACCACTGAGCCATCACCCCGCCCCATCCGTGCATTCTTTGATATACTTGTCTTTTGAACCGGAGACACGGATATTAAAACTGCATAGGGATGGAGTGAGACAGGATGGGCAGAGCTGCCAGGAGTGAGCTGGCTTCGGTCCCCTCTCTTCCGTATTCTGGATGCTACCAACTTTTGAGTCCTGCAGTCTGCCCTGGTGCCCTCTCATGTAACTGAACAACCTCATTGTCAGAACGGGAAGCAGAGCGCTGAAAGCCACGGAGGATGAATTTACTGATACTGATTTTCACCAGGAATGGACCTTCAGTTTCCAGAAAAAAAAAAAAAAGCGGGGCTCAGCAGCCAGTTCTCGGCCTGCAGGGTTGTTTTGAAACCCACAGGGCAGCCTTTGAGAGTGTGGGGGCTGGGACAATCAACTCTGAGACTTGGGGGAAGGCACAGCTCTTTCTGGGAAAAAGTTTTCTTAATGACCCTCCCTGATGAAGCACTAGAACAGAAGAGAGGTCTGAATAAGGAAGAATTCACTGCCAACATGCTGGCCAGCAAGGGCCCAGGAACGAACCTCCCAACAGCATTCGGGACGTAGGAAGTGCAGATGATGAGGTAGGCCTCTACAGGGAGATTCATGTATGCAAATAATATTTATTGCATATCTATTATATGCCAGGCATTACAACAGATTCTTCCTGAAGCACCTTTTTCAGGCCATAGCAACGTATTTCTGGAGATTTCCACCCAGATGCTAAAATCAGAGTTTGGAGGTATAGTGTCCAGGCACCTCCAGCCCTTGGCACAAGCAGAGACACGCTGGGCTCAAATCCCAGCTCTGCATCTTGCCAGTTGCTCTATCTTAGGTAGGTGACATCACCTGTCTAGTCTTAGCTTCCTCCCTACCTGTAAAATGGGAATAAGGATGTCTACCTTTCATGGCTCTCCAAGCATACATGAATCTAACCCACCCCTATCCCTGAGACTGGTTCAAAAACCATTGCCATCTCAAGGATGGGAAAATGGGGTGCAGACTGGCTAAGGAACTCGACAGAAGTCACATCAGGAGCATGCCAACAGGGCTTCAACTAGAGTCCAGGGGTTCTGGCTGCAGAGCCCACACTTTTTGCCCCCGGTTCCTCCTAACCCTGGAATCACTCACTGCCTTCCTCGACTAAAGCTACAGTCCACGCACACCACAAAGCTATCTTGTATGTCTCTGTGCGCCAGATAAAAGGAGTGTATCGCACCAGCCATTCATGTAGGTATTAAGTTATTCAAGTAATTCTTATGAAAGTGCCCCCAAGCACACCAGGTACTGTGCCAAGCCCAGAGGTCCTGAAAGAGGCAGAGAAGGAGCAGTCAGAGCATACAGCACGGAGAGGTGAGGGTGGTGAAGCCCGAGGCAAGGCAGGGGACCCTCTCTGAGGATTGAGGGCAGTATCAGAGTTTGGGGGGATGGGGCTGGGTCCTTCAAAGTAGGAGGAAAGCTAGCAAAGAAGGTGGGGGCACTTGGGGCAGAAAGGCCACCAAGGGCAAAAGCTGGGAAGCTGCAGAGAAAGCTCTGTGAGGCCAGGGAAGGGCATGGTGTCTCTGGTCGGTGCAGCCAAGTGGTGGTGACAAGTGGGGCCAGGATGAGGTGCAGTGTGGGCCTTGCTGAGGGGCTGGGGCTGCATCCTGAGGATGGAGGAAGCCTAGAAGGGTCTAAATAGGGATGAGACCCTACCAGATGTATGTTTCAGGAAACCCTCTTTGGCTGTAGCAGGAAGCATGGGCAGGAAGGGTGGGGCAGGGCAGGGGGCGTCGTGCAGAGGATTTTGCCTTCAGGCAATTAATGGGGAGGGTCTGGGTCCAGGGATGGGAAAGGTACTGGAGAGAAACGAATGAGTTTGAATGTGGTGGAGGAGAAAGTGATTGCCTGGCATGGTGGGTAGCGGAGAAAGAGGGCTGGGCTGGCACCAGGTTCCCGCTGTGGATGCCTGGACAGATGAGGAGGGCGGGTCATCATCTGAGCAGGTGTGAGGCAGCAAACAGGGTGAAGGAGAAGGTGGTAAATGGCCAATTGTTAAGACAAAATGATTCTGAGGTGAGGGCGGGGCAGGGGGCACCACCAGGTCCATGCAACACCCAGAAGCTACCGGGTCTCTGGGTGCAAAACTTTGATGAGAGAGGCAGGGAGGACATTCACACTTGAGGTACTTAAGAGCTAAGGAAGGGGAGGAGACAGGTCCTGCACCTGAGTCCTCAGAATCCCGACATTCGAGGGTACAGAGAGGAATGGAGGAGCCCTTGAAGGAGGCCAAGAGTGAGTGGGCAGAGAGCCAGAGGGGTGACCATACGAGGGGTGTCCCCAGAGGCAAAGGGAGATGGAGTCTCCTGGGGTCAATCAGCTCAGTGCCAAATGCCCTGGTGCAGCCTAGGGTGAGACGGGAGAAGGGCCCGGTGGGGGAGACTGGGTGGGGAGCAAGTGGGAGG